TATGTCAGTTCTAGTGGTTGGGATTTTGTTGAATTAACCAAATTACTTTATAGTCTTTTCATCCTAAATAGTTCCATCACTTAACATGCAAGTTTGTTTTGTTTTGTTTTGTTTTAAAGACAGGGTTTCACCATGATGGCCAGGCTGGTCTTGAACTCCTGACCTCAGGTGATCCACCCACCTTGGCCTCCCAAAGTGCTAGGATTACAGGCATGAGCCACAGCGCCTGGCCAAGCATGTCTTTTGATTGACCCATTATTCAAAGTATTGACTATAAATCAGGAAGGTATGAGTAAGTAAGTAGATAGACAAATTATGAAGTTAGGGTAGTTTAAGAATAATCTCTTGGTTACTTCCTGTTTAGAAATCTAGTTTACTATCACCAACCATAATGGTTAATAAGTTGATCTGGTCACTATTCAATATGCACAGCAGCCTTTCTAGGAAGAATGATTTACAATTCCTTTGCCTTCATAGGAAGTGCCCGAAAACTGGAGTTAAGGATCAGACTCTTCTGTAGGAATGTCCTGCTTGATCATTGGACACATCGAAGTGATTCTGCTTTTTGGTTGACACAAATATTAAAACCATGGCCAATGGTGAACCAGGCAAGATTACTGTACATCATCTTTGGGCCAGTATCTCCTCAGGATGGTGAGCACCCATTTTTCAGGGATGTATGTTACATAACTGGTTCATTATTTTTACTTTAGGAAGCATATATACACACATACACACACACACACACACACACACACTTTTTTTTTTTTTTTTTGGACAGTCTTGCACTATCACCCAGGCTACAGTGTAGTGGCATCATCATAGCTCACTGCAACCTCAAACTCCTGGGCTCAAGGGATTGTCCTGCCTCAGCTTCCCTAGTAGCTGGGACTACAGGTCCATGCCACTACACCTGGCTAGATTTTTATTTTTTGTAGAGACAGGGTCCCACTTTGTTACCTAGGTTGGTCTCGAACTTCTGGGCTCAAGTGATCCTCCCACCTTGGCCTCCCCAAGTGCTAGGATTACATACATGAGCCACTGTGCCTGGCTAAGAAGCATATACACACAAACATACACATACACAGACACACACACACATACACACATTTTTTTTTAGACAGTCTTGCTCTGTTACCCAGGCTGGAGTGCAGTGGCACAATCTCCGCTCACTGCAACTTCTGCCTCTCAGGTTCAGGCAATTCTCATCCCTCAGCCTCCCGGGTAGCTGGGACTACAGGCGCACACCACCATGCCTGGCTAATTTTTGTATTTTTAGTAGAGACAGGGTTTCACCATATTGGCCAGCCTGGTATCTAACTTCCAACCTTAAGCGATCCGCCCACCTCAGCCTCCCAAAATGTTGGGATTACAGGTGTGAGCCACCACATCCAGCCAGAAATGTTCATATCTATACTGTTACCAGGATTTACTTCTCGTTATGAAAGTTAAAATGAAAGTAGCTTGTATAAGTAATGAGATTCCATTATGCAATTCACTTTCCTCTTTAAACAAGTCTTTATCCAAAGCCAACTAACTATTCTATCACAGCCTCGTTTTTCTTTCAATTCAGGACAGGTGGTTTGGCAGAAAATGATAGAAGAACCTACAGATGAATTCAGTCTGAAAGGTTTGGCTGATGCCATTAAGTTATTATATGACTCTGGCACTAAAGAGTGGACAGCAGATGATGTCATCAGTCTTGTAGATGAACTATCAGGTAAAAAATATATTTATTAACATAGAACAATAGAAATTTATTGTTAAAATACAGTTATAAAATTGTAAGGGCAATTCTACAGGTAACAAATGATGTGCCTGTTGGAAATTACTGAATTCTCTAAAATATTTAAAGAGTTTGGCATTATGTTTGAAGAGAATGCATATAATCAATTTCCTTTGCTTGCCAGTTTTATAAATAAATATTTATTATTATTATTTCAAACCCTCTTCATTGAATTAGCTCAATTACTCCCATGTTGTAAATTCTCAGAAACACCCTTCTAGGTTCTGTAAGAAGCCCTATTCTGCAGGTAAACGAGAGGTGAAACAATTTTTTCCATTCCTGCGTAATCCTTTAGATTCTAAAGTTTACAAGATTGCTTTCCTTGCACAGGTTTAGACTGCTTTGCCTGCTGACCTATGTGTAGGAGAATTGCTTTGATTATATTATTAGTATATTTGTAAGAGCCTCAATGACATGGCAATAATCTGTCTCTGACTGAAAGCCATAGTTGGAAAACTACAGCATTTTTTATGAGCATTTCTCTTGGCACTAATTGTACTTCCAATAAAGTGGTATAATATTGCATGTGCTTAATGGTGTTTACTATAGCTGTTGTGTGATTTCTCATTAAATAATTATTCTTCCTCTAATAAAAGTGGTTCCCCATGAGTGGCTTCTAGAGAATAATGCACGTCTCCTAATGCTAACTGGAAACAACATCTGTCTCACTTTCATGGCTAGTAAAGCTGTGAATGGACGGGCCATTGAACTGGCAAGGTTCATAGTCTTTTTGGCTTTGGTAAGTAAAAAATAAGTTTTTCTCTAGCAAGTTGTTTAACACTAGAATTGACCTACCAGAGAGCTGAAGGGACTGAAATGTACACAAAACATTTTATAAAAATGAGTTTTAAAGTATGTATTTTTAATGTTTCTGTTTCAAAATATTAAAACACATCTAATAAACTATAATATTTGGAATCATCCCTTCTATTAACCTCTCCCCACTGCAAGTCTGGATTGTCATTATATAGTTCTGCTAAGTTATATGTATATTTTTAAATTCCATCCCGTTTGATTTGCTTCAAAATAATCACTGTGGGAGTAGGATGGGGAGAGGACTTGGGAATAAATGGGGGTGGAGTTGAAACAAGATTGGTAATTGTTGAAACTGGGAAGTGAATACTAGGAGTAGATATTATTCTCTCTAATTTTGTATAGTCAAAATGTTTCAAAATAAAAAGTCTTAAACATATATTTAGTCTGGGCAAGATGGCTCATGCCTCTAAACCCAGCACTTTGAGAGGCTGAGGCAGGATGATCGCTTGAGCCCAGGAGTTCAAGACTAGCCTGGGAAACATGGTGAAACCTGTCTCTACAAAAAAATACAAAAATTAGCTGGGCGTGGTGGCAACATCTGTGGTCCCAGCTACTCAAGAGGCCAAGGTAGGAGGATTAATTGAGCCTGGGAGTTCAAGGTTACCGTGAGCCACAATTGTGCCACTGTACTCCAGCCTGGGCAACAGAGTGAGACCCTCTCAAAACACACACACACACACACACACACACACACACACACACACGTATAACATATATAAAAATAATTAATATTCATTTAACACAGATTTATTGAGTGTTTACTATGGGCCATAAATTATGAGATTCTAGGACTATGGAAAGTAATAGAAAAAAATTCTGACTACAAGCTTTGAAATAGTCTTTGTTTTAGTTTTTGTTTCTTTTGAGATGGAGGCTCGCTCTGTCACCCAAGCTAGAGTGCAGTGTTGTGATCCCAGCTCACTGCAACCTCTGCCTCCAGCGATTCTCTTGCCTTAGCCTCTGAGTAGCTGGGATTACAGGCGCGTGCCACCACACCCGGCTAATTTTTGTATTTTTAGTAGAGATGGGGTTTGGCTGTGTTGCTCAGACTGGTGTTGAACTCCTGACCTCAAGTAATCCATCTGCCTGCCAGTGCTGGAATTACAGGCATGAGCCACCGTACCCAGCCTGAAACAGTCTTTTAAGAAATACCAAGATAGGCTGGGCATGGTGGCTTATGCCTGTAATCCCAGCACTTTGGGAGGCTGAGGTGGGCAGACCACTTGAGTTTGGGAGTTTGAGACCAGCCTGGGCAACATAGTGAAACCACGTTTCTACAAAAAAAATAAAATTATCTGGCGTGGGCGCCTGTAGTCCCAGCAACTTGAGGGGCTGAGGCAGAAGAAATGCTTGAATCTGAGAAGTCAAGGCTGCAGTGAGCCAAGATTGCATCACTGTATTCAGCCTGGGTGACAAAGTAAGAGCCAGTCTCGGGAAAAAAAAAAAAAAAAAGCTGGGTGGGGTGCAATGGCTCATGCCAGTAATCCTAACACTTTGGGAGGCCAAACCCAAAAGATCAGTTGAGCCCAGGAGTTCAAGCACACAGCAGGACCCTGTCTCTACAATATATTTTTTTTAATTGGCTGGTGCAGTTGTTCATGCCTGTAATCTCAGCACTTTGGGAGACCGAGGCGGGTGGATCACCTGAGGTCAGAAGTTTGACACCAGCCTGGCCAAAGTGGTAAAATGCCAAGTCTACTAAAAATACAAAAATTAGCTGGGTGTGGTGGTGGGTGCCTGTAATCCCAGCTACTCGGAAGGCTGAGGCAGGAGAATCACTTGAGCCAGGGAGGCGGAGGTTGCAGTGAGCAGGAGATCGTGCCACAGCACTCCAGCCTGGGCAACAGGGTGAGACTCTATCTCAAAAATAATAATAATAATAAGGCCAGGTGCAGTGGCTCATACCTGTAATCTCAGCACTTTGGGAGGCCAAAGCAGGCGATCACCTTAGGTCGGGAGTTCAAGACCAGCCTGACCAACATGGAGAAACCCAGTGTCTACTAAAAATACAAAAAAATTAGCCAGGCATGGTGATGAATGCCTGTAATCCCAGCTACTCAGGAGACAGAGGCAGGAGAAATGCTTGAACCCAGGAGGCAGAGGTTGTGGTGAGCCTAGATCATGCCACTGCACTCCAGCCTGGGCAACAAGAGTGAAACTCTGTCTCAAAAATAAATTAATTAAATAATAAATAATTGTAAAAATTCGCCAGTCATTGTGGCATGGATGCCTGTTATCTCAGCTACTCAGGAGGCTAAGGTAGGAGGATCACTTGAGTCTGGGTGGTCAAAGCTATAGTGAGCCAAGATAGCCCCACTGCACTCTAGCCTGGGCAACAGAATGAGACCCCATTTCAAAAAATAAATAAGTAAATAAAAGTCTGGGTGCAGTGGTTCATGTCTATTATCCCGGTTCTTTGAGAGGCTGAACCCAGAGGATTATTTGAAGTCAGAAGTTCAAGACCATGCTGGGCAACATGGCAAAAGCCTCAACTCTATAAAACATTAAAAAAAAAAAAAAAAAAAAAAAAAGACTAGCTGGGTGTGATGCTATATGCCTATCATCCTAGCTACTCAAGAGGCTGAGGCAGGAGGGTCACTTGAGCCTAGGAGTTTGAAAGTGCAGTGAGCCATGATCACGCCACTGCATTTCAGTCTGCATGGCAGAGGGAGACCCTGTCCCTAAAAAATAAGTAAATGAATAGGTGTTCCCAGGCAGATAGAGGGTGGCAGCAGATTATTCAAGGCAGAATAGAAATGGGAGCATGTGACTGTATTCAGGACACTAAGCAGCTCAGTATGATTTCTGAAGGATAAGATGTATAGAAGGGCCGGGCGTGGTGGCTCACACCTGTAATCCCAGAACTTTGGGAGGCTGAGGTGGGCGGATCACCTGAGGTTGGGAGTTCGAGACCAGCCTGACCAACATGGAGAAACCCCGTCTCTACTAAAATAAAATAAAATAAATACAAAATTAGCCAGGAGTGGTGGTACATGCCTGTAATCCCAGCTACTCAGGAGGCTGAGGCAGGAGAATCTCTTTAACCCAGGAGGTGGAGGTTGCGGTGAGCTGCTGAGGTCAAACATTGCATTCTAGCTGGGGCAACAAGAGTAAAACTCCATCTCAGAAAAAAAAAATGTGCAGAAGAGTGGCAGGAGGTGAGGTTAGACATGAAAGGAGAGGCTAGGTAAGGAAGGGTTTTATGGGCCATTCTGTGGAGCTTGAACACATTTTCTTTTTTTTTTTTTTTTTTTGAGACGAAGGCTCACTCTGTTGCCCAGCCTGGAGTGACAAAATCTCGGCTCACTGCAACCTCCACCTTCTGGGTTCAAGCAATTCCCCTGCCTCAGCCTCCTGAGTAGCTGGGATTACAGAAGCCTGCAACCATTCCCAGCTAATTTTTGTATTTTTAGTAGAGATGGGGTTTCACCATGTTTGTCAGGATGGTTGGTCTTGAACTCCTGACCTCATGATCCACTCGCCTTGGCCCCCTAAAGTGCTGGGATTACAGGTGTGAGCTACCATACCTGGCCTGAACCCATTTTCTAATAGGGAGCTAGTGAAAAGTCTTATGAAGGGGAGAGACAATTGGCTTTGTGTTTTTGGCAGATCACTTTGGCAGCACTATAGCAAATGGAATGGAGAGAAAGTCACTAGGGGTGGGGAAGCCTTCTCTAGAAAGCCTTCTCTGATTAACATGTCAGTTCTGATCATTCAAGTTCTCTGAACTGCCTCTGATTTGTCTTCTCTAGTGTCATTTACTATTAGTGTCCTTAAGCCATTGTATGTATTGGGTAGGTCATCTCCCAAAAAGGACTGTAAGCTTTTTGAAATCCAGGATTGTGTCACATTTCTTTCATCATTCCTAGTACAGTACATTACACATAAATAGCCAATAGATCTATCCTAGCACAGTACTATTTTTGTTTATTTATTTATTTTGAGATGGAGTCTTGCTCTGTCACCCAGGCTGGAGTGCAGTGGCTCAATCTCTGCTCACTGCAACCTCCGGTTCCCAGGATCAAGCGATTCTCCTGCCTCAGCCTCCTAGGTAGCTGGGACTACAGGCACTCACCACCACACCCAGCTAATTTTTGTATTTTGTGGTAGAGACGGGGTTTCACCATGTTGGCCAGGATGGTCTCAATCTCTTGACCTTGTGATTCACCTGCCTCAGCCTCCCAAAGTGCTGGGATTACAGGCGTGAGCCACCGTGCCTGGCCTATTTATTTATTTTTGAGACAGAGTCTGGCTGTGTCACCCAGGCTGGAGTGCAGTGGCCCGATCTCAGCTCACTGCAACCTCCACCTCCTGGGTTCGAGTGATTCTCCTGCCTCAGCCTCCCTAGTAGCTGGAATTCCAGGCATGCACCACTACGCCCAGCTAATTTTTGTATTTTTACTAGAGATGTGGTTTCACCATGTTGGTCAGGCTGGTCTTGTACTTCTGACCTTGTGATCCACCTGCCTTGGCCTCCCAAAGTGCTGCGATTACAAGCATGTGCCACTGCACCCAGCCCGCAGTGGGTGTGGGTTTTGTATTTTAGTAGAGACAGGTTTTCACCATGTTGGCCAGGCTGGTCTCAAACTCCTAACCTCAGGTGATCTGCCAGCCTTAGCTTCCCAAAGTGCTGGGATTACCTGACCTGTTTTCAGTATTAGTTCTTGCATTAGTAAATAATATTCTATGATAATCTTAAATCAGGCTTTTATTTACTTCATACTTTTTTTCCTGTTAAAATTGTACCATTTGAAAGCAAAATAATATTAGATACAAGAACATTTCCCATGTATAGTCTCAGTATGGTGTCAGGTATCATAAATTATGTAAAATCACAAAACTATCATTGTTCATTATTGTTCAACATTTTCAAATTCTATAGCTTTCTTCACATGAAGATGTATAATATTTTCTCATATCTACATCAGGTGTGTGAGAAAGAACTATACTGCATGGATTGGACAGTTAAAATGATGCGAAGAGTCTGTAAAGTCTTTAGCACTCCAGTGGAGAGAAATAACTTCCTACAGAATGTGGCAAATGCATTTGCATGTGTTACAATGGAAATGCTGCAATCAATCATGTCTGGTGAGTAAGATGTACTTGGTGCATA